TTTTGAGGATGTGAACACAAACAGGGCATTAGAGGGAACTGGCACGGTGGGAGAGGGAATGAAGGATAACATAGTTGAACAGAAGGGATGGAGTTGGCGCTGAAGTGAGAGGAAGAGGTGGAGCAAGGCTCGGGGGGAGAGGGGACGCCGAGGATAGATTGGTAACCATGGGAATGGAGTGCTCTTGGATAATGCAGCACGCTGGCATGGAACACAAAAATATACGGGACAGCAGAGGCAGGACCGCGGAGTGGCAAAATATGGCTCACTTCATAAGACACGCCGCACGCAACCACATTTAAATTTCGATTGAAAGCTTTCATGACTGCAAGGATTAATCTTCTTTGGTTATTTCGGTAAAGTCACGTAGAATGAGAGTAAAATAATAAAATAATAAAATAAATAACACAATAAAATTCTCACGACGTTTCGGCCACAACACAAGAGGCCTTCTTCAGGTGAAAGGAACAAACCTGTCGGGACGACAGAGCTTCAATGAAGGTTGTCAAGATTGGTAGCGTATTTTAAGCTGGTTTAGAGAAGTGAGGCACCTTGACAAAGGGGTTTACATATCACACAGGAGAATTTAGCATTGAAATAGCTGAGGGATTAGCTTGTGACTGGTCACAGAAATGGCTATGTTAAAGTCAAAGCTTACACATCCACAGAGGCACCTAGTACAAATCAAACAGGAGAATTTAGCATTGAAATAACTGAGGGATTAGCTTGTGACTGGTCATAGAAATAGCTATGTTAAAGTCAAAGCCTACACATCCACAGAGGCACCTAGTACATGGACGCCAAAGGGGCTGCAATAACTCAACTATCATACAGTAAACCGATGTGAAAAAACCTAAGTCTAAATTACATCAATACACTACACTATATAATGAACCAATAAAAACTAAAATATAAACTACCTCAATGTTATCAATAAACTGTATATATTCTCCAATCAGCTGCGAAAAAATGGGTGGATTCTTACCCTCAACTTCAGCACCACGGACAGCTACGAGCCCCGTTCAGATGGACGAGTCCATCCATGGTCAGAACGGAGGAGGGAGGAGAGAGACAGCTGCGAGGCGCTGTTATACTCAACCATACCATTAACCGTGGTGTGAAGGTCCTCGTAAGATACAATTAATTAAGAACCGAAATGGTTTAAAACATCTTTCCAATGGTTACTAAGCCAGAATCCATCTTCTCGGTTGAAATTGTCTCTGTGCTTGTATATGTGGATGGCCTCATGAACGAATCTCTCATGGTAGCCGGTTGGTTTGCAAAGAACCTCCGTCTTGGAGAAGTCAATGTCATGTGAGCCCACTCTCCTCCCTCCTCCGTTCCGACCATGGATGGACTCGTCCGTCTGAACGGGGCTCGTAGCTGTCCGTGGTGCTGAAGTTGAGGGTAAGAATCCACCCATTTTTTCGCAGCTGATTGGAGAATATATAGAGTTTATAGATAACATTGAGGTAGTTTATATTTTAGTTTTTATTGTTTCATTATATAGTGTAGTGTATTGATGTAATTTAGACTTAGGTTTTTTCACATCGGTTTACTGTATGATAGTTGAGTTGTTGCAGCCCCTTTAGCGTCCATGTACCAGGTGCCTCTGTGGATGTGTAGGCTTTGACTTTAACATAGCCATTTCTGTGACCAGTCACAAGCTAATCCCTCAGCTATTTCAATGCTAAATTTTCCTGTGTGATATGTAAACAACTTTGTCAAGGTGCCTCGCTTCTCTAAACCAGCTTTAAAGACGCTACGAATCTTAATTCATTGAAGTTCTGTCGTCCCGACAGGTTTGTTCCTTTCACCTGAAGAAGGCCACTTGTGTTGTGGCCGAAACGTCGTGAGAATTTTATTGTGTAATTTTATTATTATTATTTTATTCTCATTCTACGTGGCTTTACCGAAAGAATCAAAGAAGATGCACCACATGTAGACAAATATCTTTTATTTAGATTTCCGAGTACAGTGTGTGAATTGTTTATGATACAAGCGTCTATGTGGACCAGATTCGGCGACTTAAAACTGTCATTAAACAGGTGTTAAAGGATTAGATCATAGGATCATGAGATAGTGGCGGCCTGGGGAGGCTTTCATCCAGCAGTGGATTGACCATGGCCGATTCCACAACAGTTGGCAGTCGGGCATTATAAAAATAAGCCATAAAACATTCCAGATGTTCTCTTTTGGTAAGCATGTGTGCAAACATAGCTGCCTGTCATTACCTTACTAAGAAACTAATGCTTGGTCTTTTAATGACAACCACCAGTTTTAACAAGGTACTATGTCATATCATTCCGTGTTAAGTGAAATCATTAAGGCACCCTTTCCTCGGGGGCTTGTGTAGGGGCTAGTGCCCCCCTCCCCACTCCCCACTACACGGGGGCTGACCTCCCTCTCCCTCACCCCGAGCGGGGGGGGGGGGCATCACGTCTAATTGGTGGGGACTGAGGCCCCCCTCCCCCTCCACGCGCGGGGGGGGGGGGGTGCGATGTTTGCCTTCCCCGTCCCCGCCCCCCGTACCAGGGTCCTCTCGGGGCGACATACCGAGCGAAGGGCCGACTCCCTCAGGAATTGAATATGCGCGTGCCTTCACCCACTCGCGTGTCCTAACTGCGGGGATTCTGTGAGCGTTTGACTCGCCGCTGTGTGAGGATAGTTAATAATTTCCCCTAAGCCGTTGGGTAAACAAAGCCAACTCCCGCGGCGGTCCGGATAATAATAAATTTACTCGGCGCCCCCGCAGCTCCCCCCCCCCCACCCACGCGCTTTCTCCGCACGACCCCCCACCTCGCGCGTGCCCCGCCGTTAATACGGTGACGCGCTCACACACACGCGCGTCGGCGCGGGCAGCCCTAAGTATTTTAATATGCGCGCTCTCGGAAGCAATCAATTAATCTCGTGCGCGCTACGCACGCCGCGCGGGCAACGTCACTATCTTAATATGCGCGCACATCGTGCTTATACCGATTAAAGCCACCCACACACCGTCGTACGCCGATCGCTATACCACCGCTCTTCACACGCACACACGCACCACGCGTCACCAAGTCAGTCTGTGCTAAGATTTATTTCCCGGGGCGAATAGGGGGCCCCCGTGTATGGCCCCCTCCAGCCAGCACCCTTCCTCCCTTCACCTACCCGTCGCAGAGTGCGTCTATCACCTCAGCTCGAGCTGACTGAATTGACTTACCTTTTCCGCATCCACTCGCCTCTGTAGCTGCCCGATGGGGCTGGGGAAAAGGCTTGCCTTGGGGACTTTTTTGGATCGATTGCTCTCAGCTCCACCCCGCAGGCGTCACACGGACGCTGAGGACGGCTGGCTTCTCTCCGCCGTTCCAGAAGGACTCTGCCGATTTTTGCCCCCTGCTTCCCCCCTTTTTGTTTCCAAAACCCGTTAATCCCCGGATCATCTGACGTCATCCTGCGCATCCAATCGAATCCCCTTTTCGGCCGTTTCGAACGCTCCGCCGTTGGGGGGGGAGGGGTCGCGTCATCCCCCCCCTTCCCATTGTCTCTGTGTCAACAAGCCGGTGACTCAATGATAATCCCCTCGCCCTCCCCCACTGTTTACCCTGTCGCTGAGTGCTGCCAAAGGTTCCCCTCCCCCCTCCGTGTTGTGTATACTTCATCGCGGCTGGCCTGTAAAGCTCTATGCCCCCTTTTTGGGGGGGCCGCCATGTAATCCGGTCTGGGGGGCTCAGCCAATTTCCTGGTCCGGGGAAACCGTGGGACGTCCCTGTTAGTGGAGTCCTCGAGTGAAACCCCATCGTACCAGGTGATCCCTCCTCGAGACCCTACGGGGGTGCATGCGAGTGTTTTGTGGGGTGTGCGTGCGTTCGTGGGGGGGGGGGGGTGCGAGGAGCAGGTGGCGCTAGCCGAGCTGCTCCACGGCAGGCTAGTCTGAGGCCAAACTTGAGGTCTTTACTATATTTTTTATATGGGAATGTACATGTATCACGTCTCGTTCGGGTGAATTATTTTTTTGCCATTTACTGACTGATTAAACAGCATTTGCATCGAACCAAATCACCCAGAATCGTGGATACTAAGCAGGCTTGAGCCCGAATAGCGCCTCAATGTGCGGACTTCCATGTATCAAACGGGTGTCGTAGGCTGCTGCAGGGCTAAGATGTTATTCGGCACGATGTCCGGACATTTCTCTCCCTTGTGCTGGGGAGAGCTGCCTCTACAACCTCCATTCGTTTCCAGAGATCGCGCCGAACAACCACGCGGTTAACAACCCAAAAGCAACGTCGGACAGTAACAAACCGGGGGGAATAACATAAACAAAAATAACCCACCCACTACTGCCGGCATCAGTTTGACGATGGCGGCGGCACACCCTGGGGTCTTTGGACCCCCTGCATGTGAGGGGGACCTGGTGGGGGCGGCCGGATCAGCATACGGGGCGGCGGCACGGGTCCCGGTGGGGGTGGCCCAGGGGGCATCCCCCCGGGTGGCGGGGGCGGCGGAGGACCACCCGTGGACGGCGGCGGCAGCGGGGGTGGCGGCGGCCCCCCCCGAGGGAGGGGGCGGCGGAGGGATGCCTGACGGGGGCGGGGGAGGGGGCGGCAGCCTGTTGGGCATCAGGGGGGGCGGCGGCGGCGGCGGAGGGAGGGGCCCGGTGATTGGGGGTGGAGGCGGGGGCCCCATGCCCGGAGGGGGCATGCCCATGTGGCCCACCATGGTCCCCATCATTGGGCCCATACACTGAGACATGCTCAGTGTTAGACACTCAGATGAACAGACTTTACCATCCACGATGGGATGGTGACGGTGAGTTATCTTTCATCCGTGTCAAAAGTGCCAATTTATTCCATAAAAAAGACATTTCTAAAACTACAGATATTTCCCTTCAAACTGACACCCCCATATGTATTATTGGGATGATTTTAGGGAGTGTAATTTGTGTAAATGCCATAACACCAAGGCAGTTAACTGACTGGAGGACGGACTGATAGACTGACAAGACTGACAGATGGACTCACCTGCTTGGTCTCTTTGTTCCAATGCCTCCAGAACTTTCCCTCGCCCTTGTCGATCTCACGACTCGGCACCTGAAAGGTCAGCAGGCAAGCAAGCATCATGCACGAGCCCAAGCCATGACCCTCCCCATCATCACGCCATCACAAGCACAATTACACCGTTACCATTCGCAACATCGTTATTGCTCATGCCACCAAAATACCACCGGCACCACAACATACCCCTGGAACCATCACGACGATCATGACCACCATTGCCTCTGCGCTGTCACCACAACACCACCCCCAACACCACATCACTATCGTCGCCACATAAAGACCATCAAAACAACTTACCATATCATACCACACCGTACCACCACTAACATTGGATCAGTATCCAAACCTGCTTTTTGTGTTAGTATGTTGTCCTTCCCCCGCACCTCTGATTAGCACGGTTGGCTACGTACGTGCAAAATAAGTTAAACATACATACATACCTTTCCCTCAAGAAAACGGTAATGGTGCACTTTGCTGTGGACTCTCAAATCAATGTGCGCTTCTCTGATGTGTTTTCGGTTTGTATTGCGTGTTCTGCAGTATGAAATTTAGGACGTATGCATTCCCTCGGCAGTACAGAGAGCAGAGTGAGGCACAGCACAGATACAGACAGTGATAGACACAGATGTAGAAACACAAAGAGGTGAATGTTGCAGCAATGGTGCAGTGGGTTAACACACTGAGCTAAAAACCCAGCCCTTTGATTCACGGCCATGGCTTTTACTTGTGGCAGGTGAAATCTGAAGCAGTCCTGAGAACCACCTTCACCAACTTGCATCAAGCAGCTTGGTGAAGTATGGTCAACAATTATGACCAACGTGGGGTGGGGAGGCCTTCATACATAAGTAGATTGACAAAAGGATGAATATTATTATGAGAGGGGAATGGGAAACGTTAAAATTGGGTTTATAATTTGGTTTTACCTTCAAGGGCTTCCGTTTTTATTAAAGGTGATGCGTCCACAGCTTGCGATTCTCCCATATCTGGAATGAAGTTCTTCTCACCTTCATGTGTATAAAGCATAATGCATTCGCGGGTTTATTTTCCAAACCTATGCATTCTTTTACAAGTTTACTAAATACAATGGCTAAATACCATAAATGAGATATTTAGTGTTATCAAATAAGTTTAGACTTAAAACTTTCGTGACTACAGGAATTCATACTCTTGGTTCTTTCGGTAAAGTCACGTAAAAAATAAATGAAAATAAAATAAAAATAATGAAATTAAAATAATAAATTGAAAGTAATGAAAGCAAAAAACCCACGACGTTTCGATCGCAACACAAGCGGTCTTCATTAGGCGGAGAGAAAAGTGGGGACAAGCCTCATAAGCAGCTACATTTGGAGGCTTGCCCCCACTTTTCTCTCTGCCTGATGAAGACTGCTTGCGTTGCGATCGAAACGTCGTGGGTTTTTTGCTTTTATGACTTTACATTTATTTATTTTGTTATTTCAATTTATTTTATTATTTTTACTTTTATTTTCCTTTTTTTCTTTTTTTTCTTTCGATTTACGTGACTTTACTGAAAGAACCAAGATTATAAAATAAGGTCGGCGAACAAGAATACAACTTTACCGTTCACTTTGTAATCTTCAATTTCATTCATCACACTGTTCTCAGGGAAAACGACAGTGTTGGCTGAAGGGGAGCCAACAGCGCACATTCCAGTGTTATCAATGTCTCCCAGCCTCTGCACGGACAGCAGCAGTTCCCGGCTCAAGCCGCTGAACAGCGCGAGCAGCACCTCCACCAGGCCTCCCAGAGTCACGTCGCCAGGGGAGGAAGCGGAGGCGTCGTCCCAGCGCAGCATCCCAGCGTCGCGGGGCTCGGCACCCCGCAGGGCCTTCACCACCTGCCGCAGCACGGCGTAGAAGCCGAAGGGCAGGCGGTCGCGCGCCGTGGCCAGCAGCTCGGCCCGCATGAGGCCGTCCCCGACGCAGGCGCGCAGGACCCCGTAGTCCCGGATGCCCAGCTCCGAGTCCAGGGCCTGGGCCACCTCCACGTTCACGCCCTGTGCCTCCAGCCACGCTGGGAAGTCCCCGCTTGGCTCCAGCACTGGGGTGGTCACCATGCATGACATTCTGATGGGACGTAAATATTTGAAAACAGTGATAAATGCATCGAAGACAAGAAACTTCTCATAACCACCGTGGAGGTGCAGCGATGAAATCAGTTCACGCGAAGATGGATGTAAGCAGCATTGAACTGCGAGGGATGGCGACGGCATGTGGATGAATTCCTCCAGCAGTGGATAGACAATGGCTGATGATGTTGAGTGCACATTGAGACTAATTCTCTTTTAAGGGGGAGATAGATGGCCTTATGAGCCCTTCTATCCGAATTTCATTCCAGGCCATTGGCAGCATCAGTGCCGAATGATGGCTAACCTGGTCCCTGGGCCATTGACAAACAGCTGAAAATCATGAAAAGGTTTAGAACATTGTCAAGTTAAACATATTAACACAGGTTAGCTGAAATGCATGTAATGGGCAAGGGGAGGTAGAGCTTTCGTGACTGCAAGGATTCATCTTCTTTGGTTCTTTCGGTAAAGTCACGTAGAATGAGAATAAAATAATAAATTGATAAAATAAAATAACACAATAAAATTCTCACGACGTTTCGGCCACAACACAAGTGGCCTTCATCAGGTGAAGGGACGAGACTGTCTGGAGGACAGCGCTGGAGCGAAAAAGCCACGCTCAGATCGCGACCTTTAAGCTGTGTGAGAAGAAACAAAGTGCCTTGACAATGGAATTAGCATAGAATTTAGCATTGAAATAGCTGAGTGATTAGCTTGTGACTGGTCATAGAAATGGCTATGTTAAAGTTAAAGCATACACATCCGCAGAGGCACCCCTTGACAAAGGAATTAACATAGAATTTAGCATTGAAATAGCTGAGTGATTAGCTTGTGACTGGTCACAGAAATAGCTATGTTAAAGTCAGAGCATACACATTCACAGAGGCACCTAGTAGAAATCAAACAGGAGAATTTAGCATTGAAATAACTGAGTGATTAGCTTGTGACTGGTCACAGAAATGGCTATGTTTAAGTCAAAGCCTACACGTCTGAGCTATTCACAGTAACCGGGTATACACTACAATATATAATTAATACTACATAGTGAACCAATAAAAAACTAAAATATAAATTACCTCAATGTTATCAATAAACTCTATATATTCTCCAATCAGCTAAGCTACCAACAATAAGTCGTTATATATCACAATGCTATATGGCGAAAAAATGGGTGGATTCTTACCCTCAACTTTAGCAACACGGATAGCTACGGGCCCCGTTCAGACGGACGAGTTCATCCATGGTCTGAACAGAGGAGGGGGAGAGAGACAGCTGCGAGGCGCTGTTATACTCCATGTTGTAAACCATACCATTAACCGTGGTGTGAGAGGTATTAAGAGTCAATGAAAGCGAAAGAGCTGCGGTCTGAAGGTCATCGTAAAATACAATTAATTAAGAACGGAAATGGTTTAAAACATCTTTACAATGGTTACTAAGCCAGAATCCATCTTCTCGGTTGAAATTGTCTCTGTGCTTGTATATGTGAATGGCCTCATGAACGAATCTCTCATGGTAGCCGGTTGGTTTGCAAAGAACCTCCGTCTTGGAGAAGTCAATGTCATGTGAGCCCACTGAATTATAACAGTGATCTGCCACGGCAGAGAAGTTCGTTCTACCGTGTTTCAAGTCTGCTTTATGTTCGCGGATGCGGTCCGAGATATGTCGTTTGGTTTCTCCAATGTAGCTACTACCACAGAGGCACTTTAGTTTGTAAACGCCCGGGTACTGTATGTCTGGAACAGCATCTTTTACAGATGGAACTAGATCACGGATTTTATGTACTGTGTTGAATCGGACCTGGATCTTGTGTTTATTCAGGATTTTGGAGATCTTTTTAGTGACCCCTGCAATGTAGGGTAAGGTGATGGTTTTGAGTGGCTCCACAAGAGGATCCTTCTTCATGACTGGAGTGATGGCTTTGCGGATTGTGTAGTCGGAGTAACCATTAACCCTGAGTGCCTGGTGTACGTGCTTGAGTTCACTGGTAATGTGTTCCTGGTCGGAAATGCATTGGGCTCTATGGTATAGATTCTTGATGAGGGAGTTCTTCTGGGATGGATGGTAAACAGAGTGACTCATTGAACCATCATGTCTCCTTTTAATTAAGACATCCAAAAAGGGTAGTTTGCCATCTTTTTCGACCTCCATGGTAAAGCTGATGGCTGGGTGTATGGAATTGATGTGGTCGCGGAATTGGTCTAGAGCAGGCTGGCCATGTGGCCAGATGACAAAGGTGTCATCCACGTACCTCTTCCATAAGGTCGGGCGTAGAGTGGCAGTCTGGATGGCGTCAGTTTCAAATTTTTCCATGAATACGTTGGCTACAACTGGAGATAGGGGGGAGCCCATTGGGGTGCCCTCAGTTTGTTTGTAGAAAGTTCCATTCCAGGTGAAGTATGTGTTGGTTAAGCAATGTCTCACCAGGGGGAGTACATCAGTATGCAGTCCTTGATGAACCAGGTCTTCAATGATAGCGATGGTGTCAGGTACCGGGACTTTGGTGAACAAGGACACCACATCAAAACTGACAAGCAGGTCGTCTGGGGACAGGGAAATGCCTTTGATTGTCGATACCAGGTGAGTAGAATTTGGTACCGCAGAAGTGTTTTTTCCAGTGAAAGGTCGCAGTATATCAGCAAGAAAACGTGCCAGTTTATAGGTGGGGGAGTTGATAGTAGAGACGATGGGACGAAGAGGTGTATCTTCTTTGTGTATCTTTGGAAGGCCATATAATCTTGGTGGTCTGGCAGCAGAGGGTTTCAACGAGAACTGTTTGGTCTGATCAATTAATGCTATTGAATCAGAGATGATTTTCTTCGTTTTGGTAACCAGGCTGTTGGTGGGATCTCTTTTTATTTTTGTATAACTGCCATCGTTGAGTAGTTCTTGAATTTTGTTGTTATATTCTGTTTTGTCCATGATGACAGTGGCATTGCCCTTGTCGGCTGAGAGGACGACAATACCATCTCTCTTTTTTAATTGAGATAATTCAAAACGTTCGTCTTTGCTGATGTTGCTGGGTGGCAACTTAGCGTTTTTGAGGGTTGCAGCGATTTCAGATCTTGCTACGTCTGCAGAGATGTGACTCAAGCCCTTGAGTGCAACGTCGACATGGGCAATGATATCATTAACCGGTAAGTGTCTCGGTGTGACAGGAAAGTTTAGACCTTTATCTAAAACGGATTTCAGACCATCAGAAATGGAACTGTTACTGCGATTAATTACGACTTTGTTGACGTCTATCTTTTTGGTGTGTGGATCCGATTTTTTGTTGGAGAGGTGATTGAATTTGGAAATCAAATTGTCCCTACATTTGGTCGACATAGTGGCAGCCGAAGAGGTAGTCATATTGTCTACATGTTCCCAATCCGATGTAGACATTGTTGCTGTCAATGTTAAGTGTGATTTGTAGAGTGTCTTGTCTAACTGATCGAGTTCGGTGCGTGTAAGTCTGTGTATGCTTTAACTTTAACATAGCCATTTCTGTGACTAGTCACAAGCTAATCACTCAGCTATTTCAATGCTAAATTCTATGCTAATTCCTTTGTCAAGGCGCTTTGTTTCTTCTCACACAGCTTAAAGGTCACGATCTGAGCGTGGCTTTTTCGCTCCAGCGCTGTCCTCCAGACAGTCTCGTCCCTTCACCTGATGAAGGCCGCTTGTGTTGTGGCCGAAACGTCATGAGAATTTTATTGTGTTATTTTATTTTATCAATTTATTATTTTATTCTCATTCTACGTGACTTTACCGAAAGAACCAAATAAGAAGGGGAGGTAGCATCGATATAATTGGTCTTTGAAGCTGCAGTAAAACCCTGGATAGCCGGACGGAGATGCGGAGTGCTGTGGGGCCTGATTA